CCATCTCTACAAAAAATTTCAAAAATTAGCCAGGCGAGACAGCATGCCCACAGTCCTAGCTATAGGAGGATCACCTGAGCCTGGGAGGTTGAGGCTGCAGTGAACTATGATCATGCCACTGCCTTCCAGCGTGGGTGACGGAATGAGATGCTGTCTGAAAAAAAGAAGACGAGGCCAGGCACGGTGGCTCACACCTGTAATCCCAGCACTTTGGGAGGCTGACGTGTGTGAATCACCTGAGGTTAGGAGTTCGAGACTAGCTTGACCAACATGGTGAAACTCCGTCTCTACTAAAAATACAAAAAATTAGCCAGGCGTGGTGGTGCATGTCTGTAATACCAGCTACTCAGGAGGCTGAGACAGGAGAATTGCTTGAACCAGGAGTTGGAGGTTGCAGTGAGCCAAGCTTGTGCCACTGCACTCCAGCCTTGGCAACAGAGCAAGATTCTGTCTCAAAAAAATAAAATAGAGGAGAAAAAAGAAAAGAAAAGAAAGGAAAGGAAGAAAGGAAGAAAAGAAATATCCTTGAGCATAGGAAAGTCAAAAGGTCATACCTAAACTGAACAAAAGTCATGCGTTTCTTTTCCCCTCCTGATTCCTCATCTTCACGCCTCCTGCGAGGAATGTTGAACATATTGGTACGAAAGAGTCTCCCTACTTCTTCTTCAATCTCTGTCAAGTGTTGACGTCGGAAGACAATCCAAGCCACATATGTACAGAAAGTGTAAAAGGACTATAACAAAAAATAGACAAGAATCACAATCCTTAGCTGTGAAATGGAAAACTCCCACCTGTCTATATAACACAGCTAAGCAGACACAAACCCAGATGACCCAATTTCCCAATATTCCTGAAACACTGTGCAAAATTGCACATGTACTCACTTTTGCACAAGGAAGATCAGACCAACAATTTAAGGTATAGCACATAGCTTGTTAGCATCCTTTTTAGAAAGGATATTCGCTAAAAATAAGTGTCTGACAAATGGTCATTTGTTGTTGGTATAAATTGTTTCACATCAAAAAGCACCAAAACATAAGTGACTCACCTCAAAGAACTTCCAGTCTTTCTGTGTATCTGATATTTTCTCCCTGTAACATAATAAGTCACAACTATAGGTTGAGAGGGAAGTTCAATCTTTCAGGGACCTAGTCTTTATCTTCCTCTAAAGTTAGGGTCATTATCTTGGCCCCAAGATTATTTTCAGCTACACAAATGCTATCAAAAGGCCTTGATAAAGAGTCTCAATACTTTCTTCTTCAACTTCCTATGTTACCCAGATAAAAATCCCTAGAATGGTAAAAAGTTAATCGATATAAATTTGAGGTAAACAAACCAGTGAGGAAATGTATTTTTCCAAAGACTTCTAGTAATTTGAGTGTTGGGGAGGTAAGGAGAGTGGAAAGGTGATAAAGAGGAAGCAGAGAACTAGAAGGTAAGGCTGCAATAAAGAAAAGGAAAATAATTAGCAAACAATAGTTATGGCTATTGGGTACAAAAAGAAACAGAAACAAAAGCCACAAAGATCTATGCCAAAACAACCAATAGACTGAGAACAGCAGTGTGCTCCTCCTTTTGATGGGCATGGGCAAACCTGAGTCTTCTCTCTTACCAGGAGTCCTTGGAACACAAATTCAATGTTAAGAATACTATACTTGGCCAGGCGCAGTGGCTCATGCCTGTAATCTCAGCACTTTGGGAGGTCGAGGTGGGAGGATCACTTAAGGCCAGGAGTTTGAGACCAGCCTGGCCAACATGGTGATACCTCGTCTCTACTAAAATACAAAAATTGGCTGGGTGTGGTGGTGAGCACCTCTAATCCCAGCTACTCGGGAGGCTGAGGCAGAAAAACTCCTTGAACCTGGGAGGCAGAACTTGCAGTAAGCCGAGATTGTGCCACTGCATCCCAGCCTGGGTGACAGAGCAAGACTTCATCTCAAAAAGAAAAAAAAAACATACTAAACTGGCATGGGCACAATTAGTGAACATGGCCTCCCCTCCTAACAATTCTGATTCTGACTCCCAGCATTAGGAAACCAGACCTGGTCTGGGGAGCCCTTGAGAGTTGATTGAGGGGGCTATGCATCTGCAATCACTTCATCAGTCACAGCAGCCAAGGCCAGACCCTGGACACTTCAAGGCTGATCCTGGTTTTGCTTCTTTTTTAAGACAGAGCTGGAGTGCGGTAGTGTGATCATAGCTCACTACAGCCTCAACCTTTTGGGCTCAAGCAATCCTCCCACCTGCCAATCCTCCCCTCTCCAATCCTCCCACCAGACTGTAGGAGTTCAGGATGGTTCTGGAGAGCCTGGTACCCACCTCAGCCTCATAAGAAGCTGGGACCACAGGTATACACCACCACACTGGCTATTTGTTTTTCTTTGATACAGGGTCTCACTCTGTCACCCAGGCTGAAGCACAGTGGCATGATCATGGCTCACGGCAGCCCTGACCTCCCCAGCCTCAGATGATCCTCCCACCTCAGCCTCCCAAGTAGCTGGGACTAAGGCACACGCCACCACGACCAGCTAATTTTTGTATTTTTTGTAGAGACAGGGTTTCACATGTTGGCCAGGCTGGTCTCCAATGCCTGAGCTCAAGCTATCCACCCATCTCACCGTCCCAAAGTGCTGGGATTACAGGCATGAGCCAAGGTGCCCGACCTGCTTCTGCTTTTGTTGGAGCCTTCCTTGGAGGAACTGTGACTCTGAGGATTGGCCTTGGTACCAGGCTCTCCAGAACCATCCTGAACTCCCACAGTCTGGGAAAGATGACCCAAATCTCACAGGACCTTCGGCCTTCTCACAAGGACTTCCTGGTCTGAATGGGCCTAAACTAGCCCTTCACTTGGGGAATGAGGCCGAAGAGGTGGTTACTGGGGCCTGCCCCTCCCCTCCTACAGACTCTCTTCATTATATATTGGTTTCTTCATGTGCAAGTCTTCAATAAAGAACTGCGGCAATAGCAATTACAGTGAACATGGACTAAGTATGGAGTATGTGCCGGGTACCGTGCTAAGCCCTTTACACGTATGATCATATCTAGTTTTCATAACATCCCGCACCATGCTAGGCCCTTTACATGTATGATCATATCTGGTCTTCATAACATCCCTATGGTATAGTCAACATTATTATTTCCAATTCTCAACTGAGGAAACTAAAGTTGAGACTTAAGTCCACAGACATATATTTAATTAGGGGCAGATCCTGTACTAAAAATCAGGCCTGTCAGATACCCACATCTGTCCTCATAACTGGAATGTGAGGAGAATAAGCTTTTTTCTTTAAAATAGTTTGCAGATAAACATATTGAACAACAGAGCTCAGCGGAAACTTTTCGGAGCAACCCTCAGCATTTCTTTTCTGTGCAACCTGAGGCCTCCACCTGAGGGGTGTGCTGATGTGAAATTTCTGCCCTTTCAAAGCTCCTCTTCCGTAACCAACTGTAAATCTTCTGCCAACTGAAACCAGAGACCATGAACACCTGCCAAGCTGAAGCAAGAAAACCAGCCAAAGTCTGTTTTGGGAATAAAGTCAGCTTGCATTCTGGGAGATCGAGAGCAGAGCTCACAACAGCACAAGGCAAACCAGCACCATCTTAGCATGGTTTTGAAATGAGAGTGATTGCCCAGGAAACACACTTTCTTTCCTTTTCTTTCTGGGTTCTTTTTTTAGATATTAGAAGAGAAGGTAAGGCTGGGCACAGTGG